AAACAATGAATAGAAAAATTAATAAATAAAAAAATGTCAAAGCCAACCCTTATCATTCATATTAACAAGATTTCTCTTAAACTCACTTAAATTTACTGCCTCCACAACATCTGAAGGCAACCTGTTCCAAAGGTAGCCAACCACCCTGTTAGAATTATTTGTTTGTTTGAAGTTAAGTACAAAGCTACACAATAGGCTATCTGTGCTCTGCCCACCATGGGTATCGAAACCAAGTTTCTAGCGTTGCAAGTCTGCAGACACACCGCTGTGCCTGTTAGAAAAATAAAACTCTCTGAACTGAAGATGACTCCTACCCTGCCAAAATTTATATTTGTGTCCCCTAGTCCTACCATTCTCACCGTTAAGTTTGAAAAAAGATGATGCATTACCACTGTCAATCCCCTTAACAATCTTAAAACACTTCAATCAAATCCCCTCTAACTTTTTTTTTCAAGAGAAAAAGATTTCAGAGGCCTTAACTTCTCCTTGTATGACAACCAATCCATCCCAGGCACCATTCTAGTAGCCCTCCTCTGAACACTTTCCAACAATTCAATGTCCTTCCTAAGATAAGGAGCCCAAGACTGAACACAATACTCCATATGTAGCCTAACTAGTGACCTATACAATCAAATTATAACATCTTTAGACTTGTGTTCAATATTTCTGTAGGTACAACCTAAAATCCTATTTGCATTACCACTAGCACACTGCTTAGATGGCTTAAGAGACTAATGAACCACTACACCAAGATCCCTTTCTTTCATAACACTGTTAAGGTTATTCCCAACCAAATTATAAATATTTCCTTTTGAAATTAAGAAATTAAATCTTAGACAATATACAAATTTGAATTATAAACTGCATTTTAATTTCAAGTTTAATGATATACATTGATAATAAAACTGTTTAATTACGTTTTGAATGTAACTCTGTAAAATAAGGTCATGATGCATGCACTTTATCCCTTCCATATTTGAAGAGTTTAGCTACACAATGGGCCATCTGTGCTCCACTTGCTACAGAGAAATGTATCCTGAACAATGAAAGTTTATAAAGATTCTACTGACTCACTGAGGAATTTATATAAATGAATCAGATACTGATTGGAGGCAAGATGGACTTGAAAAGTCTGATCAGCCAACCCAAACAAGGTGCTTCTCAAAGAAGATGAGAGGTCACATTCAAGAATGCCTCTTTGGATGGGGGAAGAGGAGGAGCCAGATGTCCATACAGAAATGTAAATATGCCCAAACAATGCATCCTCCATGCAAACATTCTCAGGGTCCATTTGAAAATATACAGAGCCATAACCAACTTGAATGAAAGGGCCTGAAACTGAAAATTATTACCATCCTAGCCAAAATGAGGAAGCAATGAGTGGTTAGAAAGTAGTGAAAGGATGGATAGCATAAAAACACTCCCTTATAAGCTCCTAAGGACAAGAAACCTGTTGGGACCCCTATAGATCTAGCAAAGCAGAAAACCAAAGTGAGCTCATGTTTCCAATGTATAAGTAACTCATATAAAAACTTCATCAAAAATGGAGGGTGCTACAAGGAAATCTTAAGATAAGATCAAGATAATCAACTCCAGAAAGTAAGGTGTCCTGCCCAAGGAAATCCAAGAAACAGTTAATTGGGACAATGCAGAATACTGAGACCAACGTGATGAACAGGTACATGCAAGTTTATTCAGTGAAACTGTAAGAGTTATAAAATAGAGCTTCCAAAAAATATGAAGCATGGACAGACAGGGAAAGAGTTGAGCAAGAGAACGATGAGGAGAATGAAGGTGGGAGAGAGACCTGGAATGAGGAAGAGGAGATTCACATGCTGGAGTAAGAGACTCAAATGACTGAAGCTCAAGGAAAGAAGAATCTTGGCCATATTCCATAGAATATAATTTTTGAGGTCTGCAAGGATAGGGCAGTTGGGGTTTAGTATAAAATCAAGATAAAAAGGTATGAACAAGCAACAAGTTAGCCCAAGGTTCAGAAAAGAAAAAAAAGACAGAAGAAAAAGAGAAAAAAATGTCACATTTATGTAAATAAAGCAGCACAGGGCAAAGATGAGGCTACCTGTTCCTCATCAAGATGGCAAGAGCGAAAAACAAAAGCAGATGATGGGATCAGCAGGTCAAAATTGTCAAAAGATGAGGCAGGCTCAGCTGAAGCAACAGAAGCAGGAGAGTGGGAATCCTGGATCTGCAATTAGAAAGAAACTAACCACCTTGTGAACAATGGTGGTAACATCACTAACCATCAAAGTGCCTCCAATTACTAATGAATCACTAAAAGACGACTTTGGTTGTGGAGTGTCAGGTTTCAGAAACACGAATATGTGAATTCATAATGGAGCCCATTCACAAAAACATTAGTTTTTTGTGTGTAAAGATGTCCAGTATGTCCATGGTACATATGTCTTGGTCATTGTCATAATAACAAAACTTGAGATTAATTATCTAAACCTAAACAATGGGTTAATAATGATGGGGAATTTTTTTTTCTTAAGAAACCTAACAGAGACTGAAACACTTGTCCCAAAAGGTCATAAATTGGTTAAGAGAGGAAATCAAATTAATGTAAGAAACAATAATAAATCGAAACAAGAATTCCAACTGAAATGTTTCACATTCTGTATTTTTCTTTTCCAAGTCATGAAAATAACGGTAAGAAAGACAACACTTTGAATGGCAACTAAAATTAAGTAATAAATTAAAATTTCTGTGTTTCAAAATTAAAAAAAAAACAATTGCTGAGGAAACAATAAGCCTTTTGTTAATACATGAAGTGCTCATGGGGTCTACTGTGCATGGAGGATGTGTGGCCATCCTAGAGGTGGAAGACTATACCCCAATGCTGAGAGCATCAGAGATTCACAGAATACACATTTATATGTGTAGGAGTGTGGGTTTCATTTAAGGCTTGGCACATGCTAAAGAATCTTTTCAACAGTGGTGTGAAGTAATAGCTATTAGTTCTGTAGAGGTGAATAGTTTCTGAATTTCCCACTTTTGAACATAAACATCCAAGGAAATTGTTATAACATGTACCTATCAAAACTCATTAGATTTGCTAGAATTTGTTGTAACTTGGAAGATTTCAAAGAGAGAGCTGGATCATTACTATAAACTTTTGAGTTGAGGTTTTTTTCTCTCAATAAATTATGCATGGCATTTTTTAACTTTTGTAATAAGCACAATTTATTTTTAACTTAAATACACATTGACAATTCTTCCACTTTTCATACATTCTTAAATAAATATATTATGAAAAATGATTTTACAAATTAACATAATAGCTATGGATTATACATAACTTTCTTTATCCTAACCTTACATAACCTAAGCATTACACCTCAAAATTATCTTTTTATTCAAAACTAACATATGTTATACCGAGTCGGTTGTTAACCACGGTGTGCTTGTTGATTCAGTATCAATCGTATGACTAACATAGTCAATACAAAACATAACCTTCATCATAAACGTATATATTCAAACACAAGCCTAAGAACTTATCACACCTTAGAGATATAAAACTAAGTCTGTTATATCTGACCTTTCCTCAAGTATTTGGAAACTTTTCTTAAGTTATATTTCCACTTTTAAGAACTGATCAATTTTAGTTTGTTCTCTTCATAAGCCTAATTTCACGTCTGGCCATTGAGCAGATTCCTTTAGCAAGGTCATCTTAAATATATCAGTAGATTAAAACAACAGAACTTGTCCAGTTACACAAGAAGTCATACACACAGGCTGTGCTATTGTTCTGTGAATATCCAACCAGAACTTGCCACATACTAATTAAAATGTACATTTATTTGTGTTTACGTGATTTATATTTTACAATATTATATACATATTGAATTAATAGAATTTTAGTAATTTATAGTATATTAGATGGACTTAATATACCTTACTATAATGGACATAGCATGTATGTCAGTATCTATGTATGTAACCAAAACTCTTGCGCCATCTACAAACCAAAATCCATAAAAAGTTTCAAACTTTGGGTATTTAAGATTCAGACAATTAGAAAAATAACTGTGATATGTGCAACAACCATTTCTTTATAGTAGAACACAACTTTAATAAAAGTACTCTCCTCAAAACAAGAACACGACTTTCACTAAGACAGTATATGAGGGTTTAATTATACCTTTATTGACGTAATTTTTTAATTTAGTACTGAGAAACGAAAGTTCTTAACAAAACTATTATTTTTTCAATAAGCTGTACTACTTTTAATATATAAGAATATTACAGTTTCTATCAGTAAAATTTATTAATATTTTGAGCACTGTACATTGAATCATTTTGATGCAATGAGTCACATACGACTAAAGAGCACAATCTAAACACTTTTTCTGTGCAGTACTTCCCAGAAAAAAAATCCTTTTTTAGAAAATGTTCACTTTTTAAAAATGATTTTCAATGGGGTATAAATACTACAATTAGTAATAATTAGCACAAACAGCTGCCCATAGGGTGGCATTTCTGCTGGTAACATTAAATTTCTTAAATAGTAGTAACTAAACTGGCCAATTGTGATAGGTATGGTACATGAAGCTTTATAACTGACAATTTTGCTTTAGTGCTTAGTTATTTACAAAGGAGGCTCAATCTTGTTGATATTCTTGGAATAAAGGCCAAAAACACAGCTAATGACAGCAATAACTGATGAACTAAGGCAGAGTAGTCAAAGACATTTTGTCGTTTGCCCGTTACTTACAACTAAGACTAATTATTATTAATTGTAATTGAAGATCTTTAGCAACTCTTCTGGTAGAAGTCCTTACAAAGGAACATCACGAAACTTTGAAGTTTTGAACTTATATAATTTCAATTTTAAGAATACAAAAGTTGTACTGAAAGGGTTAAAATTATTTTTAGATAAGTAAAAATTTATGATAATTCAATTTCTTAATTTTCCATGCTGCAAACTCATTGTCAACAAACTAACCATAGTGAATATTTGTGAAAAACATTCTTACCTTCTATATATACTAAAAACACCTTTTTTCTTGTTTTGGCTTCAGAAATTGCTTCAGGTATTGTACCTTCAAACCACTTCATGCTCTTCTCTTTTTTAGAATCAATCTATTTAATCAGAAAATTGTCAGTGTTAAAGATTTGAGTTTAGTAAATAATATGTATAACAAAAAAAAAAGGACAACTTTCATGTCATAATTATATATTGTACATATAAAAACAATAAAATTTACTAAGCAAGGATTACATTGCAAGGGAGAAATACAACAAAAACTTCTTTACCTGTGAATACAAAATAATTCAGAGTAAAAAAGTTACTATATTTCCTGGTGATTTGATACATTACAACAGTCTGCTTTATCAGGTTGATCTTGCAATTTGTTCAAGATTATTATATATTTTTAGCCAGTTTGAAGTTTTTACATTCTAGAAGAAAAGTTAGTAAAGATTAAATAAATTTATTTTTTAACTCCTCATAGTTCCTGCAGTTTTTTATTTGACTGAGCCAGATTTCCTACGATAATTTAACTACATTTATCAATGTTTTACAGTAATATCATATCTTCCTCTTTTTTATTATTTCAGCTTGTTTTCCATCAGAAGCACTAGAAAATTAAAAAAAATATGATTCAGCATATAATGGCCCTCGCAGTACATACTTGCATGGAACACTGTATACATAACACTCTCTACCAAACCAAACAGCTACCCCAATTTCAATATAGCATTCATATCCATATAGGACCATATGTTGTATTATTTTAAAATTATTAAGCTAAGCAGCTTAGCCCAGCTGTACAAAATTTTACCTATTCTGTATCACCATCTTAATTAAAGCTCAAATTAAACTGGACATATCAAAATACATTTCTTTAAAATGCCTGAAAATGTAAATTGTCTTCGATTCTTAAAGCAATCCAAAATTAAGGCTAATGGTTCTGCTGTTTGTTACTTAAGTAAGTGGTAAAGATGTATTAAAGTAAATGCAAGGCAAGAAATTAAAAAACATAAAAATGGCAAGAAAACAGAAGACGAAACAGCCAGTCATGGTAATCACCCCCCCCCCCCCCAATAAAATCCTTCTAATTTATTTCCTATTTACTCTAACTTAAAAATAGTCATTTATATTCATATACCAATATACCATGTCATTCAATAAGCTTATAATTCTAACCAAAAAAAAATATTGTCAAAGAACAAGCCTGCAATTATGCTTCCTAAGTTTAAACCTATTACCCCTAAGATTCAAGTACATACTTGCAGCATTTTCAATTCACAACTCAAAAGATAACTCAGATAACTGTTTAAGGTTCATATCTTCTACATTCTATGGCAAATAACTCTCCTCATAACTCAAATAATTTAAGTTAGAAGTAATTTTGGTACCCAATTGCTTTACTTTTTTCAACATGTTGATATCTTCCTGTAGTAAGGAAACCAAAGCTGCACAGAACTCTAAATGAGGCCTCAACAGTCTTATAGAAGACTACAATATTAAAGATTCCTATAAAAAGAAAGCCAAGAATTCTATTTGCTCTTCCCACCAAAGCAAAGGGTTTATGATTTTACCAACATACATCCTTCTCTATTACAGAACACCAATGTTTCTCTCCAAATTTCCATACCTCTTATGAACAACTTTACACTTCTTATTCTTAAGATCAGATCTCATCTTTCATATTGTGGCATATTAATTATGACTACCAAGGATAAAAGGAGCATTCTCAACAGAATTAGCTTTTCCTAGTGTTTTAATAACATAAGCTAAATTAGAATACTACTGCTCAAAAACTTTCACATCATTAACATAAATAGTGTAAACATTCTAAAACATATTCATGAGTGATTCTATACTAACTTGTCACAATCTCCTAATCATCAAAAGACTTGTTTCATGTCATAATTTTTCAACACTATGCCAATTTTCAATCTGCTTTTTAACTTTTCCCCAATCCAATAAACACCTAACCAAGTAACTAAAAGAATCTTTTGTAAAGCATTTATCAAATGCTTTTTTAGCATTAAGTAAAAACAATACCGAGATATTCTCATAAAAAAACTGAGGCTCTATTTAAAACCTTCAATACAGATTGATAATATAAAAACAGAATTTTCTCATAAATATAAATGCCCACTTTTCAAACGACTTCTTTCAACAGATCTCGAATATTTGTGTTAACAACAGAACTTTTTAAGCCAAACTAATAGTAGCAAAAGTATAATTAATCAAATGTTCCCAATATTTATTTTATTTTTTTATGTACACATATCACATATTGAGGCTAGTCTATTCCCTTCTCCCAAGTTCTATAGTCTGACAATGTTCTCCTTGAAACATTTTAAAATTTAAATGATCAATTGCTAGCTTTTCTTTTATTTAAGTTTTACATGTAGGTTATGTAACTTTAATAGAATTGAGGAAAAACAAAAGACAATTGTACATTTCACAAATAACTGTCTTTTGTTTTTTCAATTCTGTAATTATGAAATTTCACAAAATACCGCCGGTTTGAGTATCAATTATATAATTCTAATAGTATTAACTTCGTAGTATTAATAATAATACTAACATTACTGGAAGTACTACTACTACAAGAACTAGCCTACACGTATTACTACTACTAGTACTACAAAATTATTTTATAAATTATTAATAAGTAGAACTAGAAATCTTAATTAGAACTTTGGCAAATTATTTGTGTTACATCCGAGGCATATTATACCTATGGTCAGAATTATACGAAAAAGAGTTGAATTCTTTTACAAAATACACAATATTTAATTTGTTTTGAAAATAGGATACTTTACTCCCACTGTTGCTTTCCTATTACTAACACTATTAGTAAGCAAATTGTTCTGGGTGACATCTGGTAGCATAGCTGCATGATAAAAAACCATTGATTAATTTTAACTATTTCGTAAGAATATTTGGTTTTGTTTCGTTTCATTTTTGGGAACGAGGAAAGAATTTTCTTTTTAGAGACATACTGATGATTCAGATTTATATACATTTCCTTGTATAGTTAAGTATACGTGTTTTGTGTCTTTCATTTTTGGTGTTTGATACTGTTTATTATTTTAGTCAATTGCTAAATACTTTGTTGAGAACATAAGCTTGACGATAGACACTCTCATAGTGTTTAAAAGAAGAAACTAAGTAACCTCGATTAGAATACACATTATATGGATTCAAAAAAGATTGACTATACATTAAAACTCAATTTTAAATCCACGAGGGTTTACACAGACTAGAAAATAAAACAAGCTATTTACTAACGATTATTTTATATATATTTAAATATTCTGTTGGATAAAAGTTTGATATTATGGTATATAAGTATACCATGAAGTTTTGACTTCTTGTGTTTAATAGTACTTATTCTCAATTTATTCTTTATTATGTAAATGTGCATGTTTCACATAATACTGTTGCGTCAGCGAGTCACATGACTAGTGTGACGCCACGTTTCTAGAACTATCCCGTACCTTGGCGAATGCTCTAGTATTTACTAGATATAGGGTAGGCTGGTATATAAAAGAGGGTGACAACGTGACGGGAGAATAAGGTAATGTGTATGTAGGTAGTGAGTAATTGAACTGCAGTCAGAGAGAGACGTATTGTTGAAGTTAATGTTCGTTCGTTATAGTGTTTGTTTTAGCGCGAATATTGAAATTAAGTGTATCGTAAAGTTATATTCGGAAAGAATAAACCAGTTTTATTAAGTAAGGACTTGTGTCGCTAAAGTTTCATCGGAACGAAGTTACGGAAAACAATTTAACAAACGGAGACGTAACAAATTGGTGTCAGAAGTGGAACGAAAAAAAAAAAGGAAACGAGAAGCGGCAAATCAAACTACAGTTTAGCAGACTTGATGGTAGTGTTGCGTCATCGAGATCACGTGACAATTCTCAC